GTAGTTTTCTTTTGAGTTTTCGCTACTGATTTTGGCTGAAGCAACATCATCTTTTCCCCTGCTGACATGGGCTGGGCACAGATTGAGAAAACCTGAAGTCAGGCACTGGCTGAGGACTCTGGACATGGCTCTGCTAGTGCTCCCTTGCCACACATGGTCTCCAGGAAGTCCTGCTCATTCCACCCTTTGGACAGCTGGTTTAAATAACTGTAAGCGGCTGGTCTGTAAGCTCATCAAAACAAGGATCCTGCACACAGCACTCAGCAGAAACACCTTATCTCTGGCTGAGCTCCCAGGAGCTGCCACCATGCAACCTTTTGGGAATTTGCAGGATCTCAGGATGACCCAGGGAATTCAATGCATTTAGGAGCACCATAAAGCTGGATTATTATCATCCTAATAATCTGTGCAAACAAGTGAAAACAGCAGGCAGCTGCCTATCTTCCAGCTCTGTCCTCTCTTCCACTTCTCTTGGTCAGAAAGAAGAAAGGAGCTTCTGTGCTTCTGGAGTCAGACAGACAGGCTGAGCTGTCAACATTAGCAATTCAGAAAACTCACGCACTTGGAAACGCCTACCTTGTTTCAGGATGCGATGCAACACACTGTAGTAGAGCTAAAGCATTGCAGACTCTGTTGGACTGATGGGCTGTCAAAGTTGGAGGGTTGATTGATGGATAAATATTTACAATTTCCTAAAAATTAACAGTTGAAGAAAAGTTAAAGGAGAAAGACATCAGAAAGCCACAACAAAGCACTTCCCCAGCAAGGAACTATGGTGACAGGAGATGACAGTCAGCTTTCACCAAGCATCACTTTGAAGTTACATGGCAGCCACCATGCTGTCCAGACAAGGGCAGAGCTGGGTCAGAGTTTAATTGACAAGGAGTCACAGGAATGCATTCAAACCTTAATTTCAGTAAAAAAGGATTAATTTTATTTTCTGTCTCTTTACTAGTGTAGGAACTGCTTTGTTTTGAACTTCCAGATTGAAGAGGAATGTTGTTCTTGTGCCTAGAGGCAGAGCACACCCACTCTATTCATACTGTATCTGCTCATACTCTAACTCAATGCAGGGGAAGCAGCTGAGGGCGAGAAATCCAATTCAGAAATCTGTCTTGCTTCCAACTATAGCTCCCTTCTAATTTTTTTCACTTGTTTCAAGGCCACTCCAAGAACAGTCTGACATTGCCAATCCTGCACTCTTTTCTTTCCCTCTTCAACAGAAATTACTAGATTAATCACTGAGAGACAGCCAGTCATCAGCTGTACAGTAGTTTGCCCAGAGATAAGGTGAGCCGCTTGGTTTCACGTGAAATGCAGGTACATTCCCTTGCAAGGATCTCTGGAGCAGTGAGCAGCAATTCCACGCTGCCCTTCCAGCGGGCTCCCTGCAAGGGCAACAACCTTCTGACCAGAAAGTGCTCAAGCTCATGCAAAACAAATCAAGCCAGAGATCTTAGGAGTAAGACTGTTGTGGCTTTGCTATGGCGGTGTATGAAAATAAGCAGAATGTCATCCACAGGGAGCTCATACACTCAAGAACTTGCCTGTTCCCCTTCCAACTATGTCAGCTGTCTAATTAGAGATCTTACAGTCTCTGCACACATCGCCTTGCTAACGATGATTAATGGCAAATGGGCTTCCCACATCTGATCCCCTCACCCCATGACCCAACTTACATCATACTCCCAGCAAGGCAATAAGAGACCCCACCAGTGCCTCCCCAGATCTGCCCCATGGAGGCAACAAGCTCTGCAAATGTGCTGGTGCTGCACCATGGAATAAAGGTGCCGCCAGTTCTACGCACCTGAAGGAGCGCTGCGATCGTGCCAAACGAGTGCCACAGCATCGGGGCAAGGTCAGGCACAGATTCACGCTTCTTGCTCAGCTCCAGCAGCGCATTCTCCCGTGTCTCGGGGCTGGACAGCTCATTGATCCACTGGTAGATCTTTTCACGGTCAACCTGAGCCAGTGCTGTTGGCACAGGCTGGGAAGGAGACAAGAAAACTTCAGTCCAAACATTTTATCCAATTGTCACACAAACCCTTCCCGCAATCTGGCAGACAAGCCAAAAAAGTGCAAGAAACTCCTGACTGGGAGAGGGAGGAACTAAAGTATTAAGATGCTCTGAATATGGATCCTTTTCTTAGATTAGTCTTATTATTTCACCTATTTGAAATGCAAAGGTTTTACTTTCCGGCCCGACTCGTTAGGACAGTCTCAATCTATTTGTCAAGTAGTACCTTGTAACTTCATTCAGCAATATAAGAGAGCCATGCTGCTGCCTCTCCATGCCAGCTGAGCTCCCACAGAGGTCATGCATACTTTAGCCAGCTATCATTTGCTCCACCTGCACATAGCACGCATTCATTTCATGTTTCAAGTGCAAGCTTCCACAAATTCAAAGTAAGGCAGATGCTACCTTTTTCTCTCCAAAAACATCCATGCCATTGGAATCTGCCAATGGGGATTCACACAATGTACATGAGAAAAATATTCATACAAATACTAGAAAAACTCTCACTACTCCAAAATCAACATGACACCATCCACAGCCATTAACGCCTGCTGTTAGAGATGTCACATATTCATCTCATGTACCCTGTTTACACGCATGGAGCTAAAAGGGAATTTTTCAAGACTGATTTTGTGCAACAATTCCTGTTCAAAATAAACCCAGAGAAGGATAGATCTGTATTCACAGTCACGGCACATTTTCTACTACTCAGAAGAAATGCAGGATTTCTCTTCTGCCTTTCTTGGAACACCAGGGAAAGAACAGCATGAAGGCCAACAAGTTTTCAAGCCAGAAAAATGAGACTGGGCTGGGAAGGAAAGGATGAGAAACAGGGACTGTGGAATTGTAGCATACTTTCTGTGGAGAGGGCAAGGCACAAGACTTTCAATGAAAGTTTGTCTCATGCCTCTTCTGGCACAACAAGCACTCAGGGTGCAAACAAATGCTCAGCAGGCTTCCTAAGTAGACAGTTTGGCGATTCAGATACAAAATTTTGAGGCAGCAAATATCAGCATTAACACCTCCTGTGTGAACGCTTCCAAAAGCCAGTTCAGAACCTACTCAAACATTCTGCTGCTGTGTTTACTACACAAGCAAAGCACAGCCCTGTTTGCACGCTGCTGCTCCTGAGCTAGCCTGTATGCAACCAGCTCAGTGGCCCCACATGTACAGCAATCACGGCTGGGAACAGAGAACAGATTTTTTTTTTTTTTTTTTTTTCCAAGCCTAGACTGAAACTCTTCATGTACTTACCACAACAGATGTGAGCACTGCGTGTACAGAGGCACTGAAGAGAATACAAAGGAGTTCAGGAATTGAAAGTGACTGGAACCAAACCTGAAACTATATACTAGAGGCAGGCTCCCAGAACTGCAAGAGGGATGAAGGGAGCCTTGTTAACCTTTGGCGGACACCTCCAGAGCTTTCTGTCTCTATTTCTGCAAAGGCTTCCCTCCTCCGTTCATCCACATGTTATATCCATAGTCACATCCAAAGAGACTCTTCCCCAGTTGTGGTATTTCTCTCTCCCCCAGCCACTTCTATCCTATTATTTAATTTAAATGTCTATATATAAGCCAAAGTGCTGTTATCAATCCCTATACTCCAGGGCTCAAATACCTTGTTAGCTGTTCATCTTTCCTCCTATCCCTTTTTTTCTCATCTACTTAATTATTTTTTTTTCCTCCCAGAACTTCATACTAAATTAGTAAACCTGACAAATTTATTGTACTTTTACAGCTGTGAGTGCAATTCTAATGGCAACTCCTGCACTGGAGCTCAGAGAGGGAGAATGAACAGAGCTCATTTGTTTTTATTTGGGATGGTAGTGACAAGCAGCGTAGCAATAATGTTGTTATAATTGTGTTATCTAAAGCTTCCATCTATTTTTCTATACTCACTGGAAGTTTCAGTTTCCATAAGCTTAAATACATCGACCCTCTAAAAGCACAATCATGTGCTTGTGATCCCTAGAGAACGCTAAGTAAATTTTCCACACAATTAAGTTTATGATGTCCAATATCTGTCTTAGCCAGAATCAACTGCTTTTCACAGGCTCTACAGTTGCTTCTCTCAGTTTAAACTGAAACATATTTTTTCCTGATTCCCTACTTTATTGTTGTTCCACCTTCTCCCTCTAAAACCTAAAATTCTGGGGAACCCTGAGGGCTACACACAAATCCTGCAAGCTCTGAGACAGAATCCTGCCAAGCAGACTTTCTTTTGCACACAGGGAAAGCAAAAGTTACCAGCAGTATCTCAACACAGCACAAACTAGCCACCTCTGCATCATGAAAGATCTTGTAACACCTTCCTCAAGAGAAATGGCATCACCTCAAACATCCATGCCTGATTACATCTCCAACAATCACATAATGAACTGGATTTAGGCAACTGGCTTTCTCTTCCTAATTGAGCAGCTGCTGCTAGGCACACTGGCAAAAGTACTGGTCAACCAAAGCACAACACTAACTGGATACATATCTTTTTCAAACTATTTTGATAGATAACCAACTCAAAAATACCAAAATGAACTTTGAACTTCAGGAGCAGTGAATCAGCTGGTTTCAGTTGGACTTTCAATGCCTTACTGCTAGTTACAGCTATACTGATTGTTCTTAGCCTGTTTCTCAAGCCTCTAGCAGGTTGGTTATACTGTCTTCAGGTCTGAAATCGAAGTCTCAGCTCTGCCACCAGCACCACTGTATAAAGACCAATGCTCTGGCTCACCACAGCTTTATGGCGACAGTGTTCACAACACCCAAGGGAGTTTCTGAGCCAATTCATGACCATACTAAGAGGTAATGTTATTTACTGCAGCTCCCAAGCCCATCTCCAGAGTCAGACACCCTTTCCTGTCACCTTTAGTCTAAGCATACTAACCGACTGTGGTAGGAAAAGTTTCCATATAGAACTACCAGGTGGCGTGAATTGTGTATCAATTAAATACACATTCAAATTAGTCACAAAATACAGTTGATTTCTGTTGCTGAAACAGATTATTTTGTTAAAATTATCTTTAAAAAAATCCTTTTATAAAGAGGTGACTAGAACACAGGTAGAGGATTAATGGAAGATACAAGTCCCTCCTGCATTTCAACAAGCATTTAGGGATTACATTGCTATAAAAATGTAAATACTGATTAAGAGAGCTGACTATGGTCTTGCACACCCTTCTATGCTCTAGAAAGTGTCACTTTAAACCATGCCAGCACTCCAAGAACCAATTTAAAGTCACAAGCACTTAAAGTGGGAAGACTTAAAAAGTGCTCTCAACTCCTGCTCATAAATACTTTACTCTTGTTTGCTTGTTAGTCCAAGCAGATCCTTGAGCTAAGTTCATCTGAAAACAGCTCTAACTGCTGGTCTTGCAATACACTTCCCGAACCCAATACACACCAGAGACTCCAGGAAGTCTTACACATGCGATGAACGTGCATTTGGAGACGTGAAAACCAAAACACAAAGCTGCTCAGATATGAGGTAAGATGCAATAACCACCTCGTTCCAACTCAGCTTCCATCTTTGAACCAAAGCAGGCCAAGGTACCGTTTCGCTCCCACCAGCCCGAACATCAGGCGCCCCAGCCCACCTTGGCAGCTTCCTGAGGGGAAGGAGGGCAAGCACCAACTACAGACAGCGCTGCAAGGTACGGGGGGAAGAGGGATGAAGGCACTGGCAGTCTCCGCCCTTCCTCCCGCTTGCCTGCCGCCCTGAGGAACTTTTCCCTCGCTCCCCAGAGGACAGCGCAGGCGGCTGGGCATGCACGAAGCGCCCGGAAAAAGGAGGGAAAACCCTTCGTGACAGACCGGGGCGCCGAGGGAGGGAGCTCACCCCGCGGCCCACAGCCCCCCGCCCCACGGGAGACCGAGGGGAAACGTCCCCTCACAGCTACGAGTGGCCGCGCCC